AGGGTGGTGGTGGTAGAGGTAGTGGTAGTGGTGGGGTGGTTTCAAACACAATTTTTTTTTAAAGTATTTATGAAAAATAATTTATAAAAGTACTTTTAAAAAGTCACTTCAAATACACCCTTAGGGGACTATTTTTTCTATTAAATTTAGGGTGTTAATATTAGCTGTTACATTAACTTTAAAGTAAAATTTAAAGCGATCTCAATTGCGAATAGCAAAAATTATTTTGTTTGTCTTTTAAGATTTGAATTGTAAGTTATTTTATTATTATTATTATTATTATTATTATTATATATATATATATATATATATAGAGAGAGAGAGAGAGAGAGAAACAGGGGAAGAGGAAAGAGTTAAAATGAAAGAGCAGAAAGTGAGACTCTTGAGTGAACATGGTTAGTTGTGAACATGCATCTTTTAGTTTCCCTAACCGACAATTTAGTGAGAGAATGGAAGATGGAAAATATATTATAAATAGCATTTATAGATATCATCTCCAACTATAACTCAAATTTAAATTAACATTTGAGTAAAAAGTTTGATTTGATAAAATGGCTCTAATGGACAAACTCAAATTTAAAGAAAGAGAAATTTAAATTTAAATGTGGACAAACTCATATTTAAAAGAGAGATAATCATTGGATCTTTAAAAAATGATAAAATCTCACAATTGAAGATTTGGGTAAGGATTTGAATCTCCCTTGATTTGAATAAAAAAAAAGTGTCTTCCTTGATTTGATATAAGTTTGAGTCAAAGGTTAAAATAAATTTTTTGAGTTTTTTTACTCAAATTTAAATTTTAGTTTAAATTTGAGTCAGTGTTAGAGATGTTTTAATGGAGACTCATACCTTTACCCCAAATTGAGTAAAAAAAAAAAGGGTAAAAAACTTGATTTAGTATAAACATCTCTAATATAGAAACTCAAATTTAAAAGAAGAGAAATTCAAATTTAAATAAGAATAAACTCAAATTTAAAATAGGGTAAAATATGATCATTAGATCTGTAAAATAGAGTGAAATCTCACCATTAAAGATTTAGGTGTAGATTTGGGTTTTCCTTCATTTGGTCTGAGTATGGATCAAGAATTGGAGAAACAATATTAAAGGAAATTAAAATTTAAGTGCAAAAAAGGATAAGAGTTAGAGATGCTCATAAGATGTGTAGCATTGTTTTTATATGATTTTTAAAGAGTAATAAAATAAATTAAAAAAATTTCATACTTCTTTACATTTAGAGTAGTAGCATAGATAAACAATAATAGATCATGAAATGCAAGAAATTTTACCAAAACGAAATGTAGGTATCCTTCCTCTTCACCGCAATTTGAAACAGCTCCAAACACTTCAAAAATTAAGCATTTGATTTCAGAGCGTCCGACCATTATCCAGGATCCAACTTTACTAAATTTAATTAAAGCACATCAATTTTTTTCTTTAAAACACCAAAACAGAACAAGAAAAACACTAAAACACTGACTAATTATAGGCAAATGTTTGAACAATGTCTATATGAATCACTAACTCTCACTTGTCTAATCTGATGAATGATAGCCAAACACATGCTTCAAAGTGAAATCAAAAATCATCCGTAATGGCAGAATATGACATGATATCAAAAGAGCAAATTCTGAGTGTGAAGGAGTTTGGATTGTGTATCAAATACACTGAGGTGTTATTATTGTGCGTGCTAGATCTTGCACAATATAAACACGAGAATAGATCTCTCCCTTGGTGAACTCAAGTGAGTCAGTCGAGTGGTCAACCCTGCTGCTTGGAACAGCCTGTGAGGTCCGGTGGTAACCTGAAACGGTAATGGAAGACCCTCGTGGATCAATGGAACGATCCAGTAAGGCTGAGAAAGGTTCCTGGAACAAAGAAAGACAAGTTAGAAGGGCGCCGGAGTGTTTTTCGGCGTATCCCCTCCGACGATCAAGTCAGTTTTTGAGAGAGAGGAAGAAGAAAACACTGAGTATAATTCGTAGCAAAGGTTTTTTGTTGCCTCCCGTCTTGCCTTTTGCGAGGAGTATTTATACCTCAAATACTCATGATTGTTGTCAGTGTGGTCAATAGGTGATTATTACATACAAGCAACGTGCGCACTGATTCCTACGAGGAATGTCTTCTCTTTTAACTGCTCGGGATCCCGAGCAACCAAGGCTGCGTCATCGGCCTGCCGACTGTTCAATGAGCTCCTCTCAGCAAGGATGTAATAAATGTCCAGCCTTGGAGACATTTATTATCTTTCACTTCCGAGCCTTACCGCATTGAATGCTGTCTCATCAAGGGAATGGTGTAATTAATGCTTGTTTTCCCCAGTCGTATATCAGCAAGGGCATTCAGTCTTTCTGTCTCTGATGTGACACAATATGTCACACGTCCATTCCTCATTGGTTGTGTCCCCTGCCTTCTTGAGCTTTCTGACACCAATTCTGTAAGACGAGGTCATAATGGCTAACCTAGCCTAGCCTAGGCTAGTGACCTGTACATCAGTAGCTCTGCAGGAACAGAGAATGTCATCTTGGACGGTACTCCTCGGAACCGAGAAGGGGGTACATCTCGGAGCCGAGAGTGGAGGTACATATAAGAATCGATGTACCATATCAGACCGAGGGATGCGTGTCGGTACGTAGACGTACTGGATGCCACTTTTGATCCCTATGACAAGTACCTCGGGAGAGAGGGACTTGTGAACCGATGGGTACGTGATCTCAGTAATAAGGATTGTAGTGACACCAAGGACACGTGTCTTCATCTTGGAGTATTTCGAGAATGTCTCATCAATCATGTAACTTATAGCTAAATAAACAAATGGGTTAATGTCCCTAAAATATACCCTCTATTATTATGGTCTCAATATTTCAATTGCATCACTAAAGTAAAACATTTGACTTTATATGGTCCTTTCACTTAACGCCGTCCAAATAAGTGACAGAATTGGAACATGTGCATCTCACGTGAGTGTTCAATATGAGCATTCAATGAGGAAAAAAACTATTTCTTTTTTATTTTGGGTAAATTACAATTACACTCCCTAAACTATCACCCTTTTTCTACTTTGTCTCCTCAATTATTAAATTTCTCACATTGCACTCTCAATTATATCATTAGTTTCACATTGCCCCACTTATCAACATCAGTTAGTACTGTTACATATTTAATGAAAAGTTGTTTTATTTTACCTCCCAAACTATATAATTTTTTTCACTTNTGGTCTCAATATTTCAATTGCATCACTAAAGTAAAACATTTGACTTTATATGGTCCTTTCACTTAACGCCGTCCAAATAAGTGACAGAATTGGAACATGTGCATCTCACGTGAGTGTTCAATATGAGCATTCAATGAGGAAAAAAACTATTTCTTTTTTATTTTGGGTAAATTACAATTACACTCCCTAAACTATCACCCTTTTTCTACTTTGTCTCCTCAATTATTAAATTTTTCACATTGCACTCTCAATTATATCATTAGTTTCACATTGCCCCACTTATCAACATCAATTAGTACTGTTACATATTTAATGAAAAGTTGTTTTATTTTACCTCCCAAACTATATAATTTTTTTCACCTTACCCCAACACGTAAGTGATTTCCATCTAAATGGATAACAGACGTTTGCGATTGGAACAATATGAAACAAAAGTATTAGTTTAGGGTACAATGTGATAAATTTGGTAGTTGAGGGGGCAAAGTGAAAAATGAGCAATAGTTCAAGGGGTGTAAGTGTAATTTACCCTTTTATTTTTGACCCTCCCTCTCCCTCCTCCTCATTTTTCTCCCAGGTCTTCCCTCTTTCCACCCAAAACCACAACTACCGCTGCCCAATCCCACAACCAACCGGCAGTTCCCTTCCCTTACTCATGTCTTACCAACCTTCTGGAGCGAGGAAAAAAATGCTTCCAAACAGCAAAGAAAGGGAAAAAAAGCAGACAGAATGTTCACTGCAATTTCAAGAATGGTTTGAAGTTTTAGAGAAAAAAACAAAAGGGATAGAGAGGGAATTCAATTTCAAAAAAGAAAGGGTAGAGAAGGAGTGGCTACAGTGCTNGGTACAATGTGATAAATTTGGTAGTTGAGGGGGCAAAGTGAAAAATGAGCAATAGTTCAAGGGGTGTAAGTGTAATTTACCCTTTTATTTTTGACCCTCCCTCTCCCTCCTCCTCATTTTTCTCCCAGGTCTTCCCTCTTTCCACCCAAAACCACAACTACCGCTGCCCAATCCCACAACCAACCGGCAGTTCCCTTCCCTTACTCATGTCTTACCAACCTTCTGGAGAGAGGAAAAAAATGCTTCCAAACAGCAAAGAAAGGGAAAAAAATCAGACAGAATGTTCACTGCAATTTCAAGAATGGTTTGAAGTTTTAGAGAAAAAAACAAAAGGGATAGAGAGGGAATTCAACTTCAAAAAAGAAAGGGTAGAGAAGGAGTGGCTACAGTGCTTCAAGGGGCGTGGAAAACAGTGAATGGGTTCTCTATCAATTTCGGGGAACAGAAAACTTATCTGTTCATGTTTAAGAGTGAAGAGGACAGGGAGATGATCTATCGTGAAAGGCCCTGGTCTGTTATAGGGGCTTTGATGGTGCTTAAAAAATGTTCCCCACAAAGCTTGGTGAGTGACTATGATTTTCAGAAAACAGAGTTTTGGGTTCAGCTTTGGGGATTACCCCTGGATATGATGACAAGGAACACAGCATGGCATATTGGGATGTTCATTGGAGAGCCATCTCAACTTGAAGACTCTGATGGGGAGTTGTTGTTACAACGTTGTTTTCTTCGTGTCAAATGTGTGATTGATCTAACTGAACCATTAAAGCAAGGTTTCTTTCTAGCCCGTGACAATCACGCTGACCTGTGGATCACCTTTCAATATGAGAGGCTGTCGGATTTTTGTTACCAGTGTGGGAGGATTGGTCATATCCAGCACCAATGCTCTGAGAGGAAGCTGCATGTGAAGGCAAACTATATCCCAGGACTCAGAGCCCAAAGCTTTCAATCAATATGTTTCTTCAAAGAAAACTGGAACCCTATGGAGGGCAAGACAATACGCATACTCAGCGTTGGAAGGGCAATAGTTGGGCCCTGGCTGGAGAAGATGTAGGTTCATCGGAATCCAATTCCCCTTCTGCACCATTAAGGTCCTGTGGCGATAGAGACAGGAGTCGCAATGAAGAAGCAGGAAAAGGTATGTTCCCCTCTTGCATGGAATCAGAACGCCCAACCTCTCATCAGCCACGTGGACAGGNGTTCATCGGAATCCAATTCCCCTTCTGCACCATTAAGGTCCTGTGGCGATAGAGACGGGAGTCGCAATGAAGAAGCAGGAAAAGGTATGTTCCCCTCTTGCATGGAATCAGAACGCCCAACCTCTCATCAGCCACGTGGACAAGAGACCTCACAGTTACGACAAATTGACTGTTCCTTGGGAGTTGAAACACAACAACATTTCTGTAAAGATGCTGTCCTGGATTTAATAATATTAGACGCCTCGGAGAATTGTAAGAACGCAAACGATGAGTGTCCAACCTGGGTTCTGTAGTGAATCTTCTTTGAAGGATACCCGAAAGGCCCAACAGAAGCCTAGTTCAGATAGAGACGACTATTATGTTACGGAGCCTAAAAGCCCAAGCCATAAATTGGCAATCAGTCCAGAGGATGACCGATTCAAAAAGGGGGACCGTATTTGGATCCAATTCTTGGCCCTTGGAGTGACGGAAGTGATAGAAGATCTGAAGTTACAGAGAAAATTCCAAAATATGTCGCACAAAAGGAGTATCAATTTGGAGGAGGTCGAACAAAATGAGGATCACACACCCAGAAAGAGAAGCAAACAGGGTCCATCATCAGTGCAAGAACAGCAAATCAACCAAGCTTTTCAAATGGGATTAGCAGAATCTCCAATTATCAGGCATCTGAATAGAGCTAGAGGGAAGGGGATGGTTCGACAAAGTGCACGTACTAGAAGCATTAGGAGGACAGCCAGAGAGTTTCCACATTTAGGTCTTTTCGTTCTGACGATGGCACAACAAGAGGCAGAGGCAACTTCTGCGATGCTGGAGGAGCAAGGGGTAAATAATCTGAAACTTTGCTTAACTCCGAGGGCACCTCAAATTCAAGAGATTCCAGTGCAGGAGAATGCTGCTTGCTTGCGTACAGAAAAGGGCGGTGGTGGCTAGCCCCAAACAGTCACAACCTCCATGTTAGTCCTATCGTGGAACTGTTGGGGGAATGGGGTGACCCTGGACAATTCGAACCCTGAGAGGGTTAATTACTAGTTACTACCCATCGCCCATCTATAATCTTCTTAATGGAGACTAAAAATGGAACAGATAAGCTGGAAAGGATCAAGAGATCCCAACATTTTCCTAACGGCGAGTATATGGACCCCAGGGGTATTTCTGGGGGATTAGCTCTATGGTGGAAGGAGGAAGTCAACCTACAAATCAGAAAGAAACACAAGAATATGTTCAATGTTACAGGCAATATGCAATTTCTCAATGTTGAGTGGCAGGGTACTTTCATATACGCAAATAATGACTTTGATAGGAGGCAAATGTTATGGCAAGAGCTGAAGGTGATGGCCAATCATACTAGGATGCCTTGGTTGGTTGCCGGTGATTTCAATGTCATTGGCTCTCTCTGGGATAAGGAGGGGGGAAGATCAGCAAGCTTAAAAAAGATGGAAGAGCTGCAAGGCTTCATTTGTGAGTGTAGTCTCCTGGACACAAACTTTAAAGGACCAAAATTCACTTGATCTAATAACAGGTAGGGAGAATGTGCAAGAACGAATTGATAGGGTTCTGGTGAACTCATAATGGAGTTTCTTATTTCCCCGTATGTAGGTTATCCATGAGGCCAGATTGGGCTCTAACCATTGCCCAGTCATCATCAATATTGCACCAGATGGTAAGAAGAATTCCTTTTATTTCAAGTTTGAAACGATGTGGATGGATGATTGCACATGTGAAGGTATCATTAAGAATAATTTGACTAATAGTTTGGTGGGTTCGCCAATGTATACGTTGGTGAAAAAATTACAAGGGAAGGAGCTTGCCGGCTGGAGTAGACAGAAATTCAGGAACAACAGGAAGTTATTGTCTGAGTTTCATCATAAATTACTTGATGCCCAGATGAAAGTAGCCACTGAGGATAATCTCAGATTGGAGGTTGCCATTGCTGCCGAGATTGACCATTTAAATGAAAGGGAGGAGAAATTTTGGAAGCAGAGGTCCCGAATCAACTAGTTGGATTCAGGTGATCAAAACACGCGATTCTTCCATCAATCAACAATTCAAAGGAGACAACGAAACATGATTTTAAGGCTCAAANTAAATGAAAGGGAGGAGAAATTTTGGAAGCAGAGGTCCCGAATCAACTAGTTGGATTCAGGTGATCAAAACAGGCGATTCTTCCATCAATCAACAATTCAAAGGAGACAACGAAACATGATTTTAAGGCTCAACACCTGATGTAGTGTGGCTTGAGGAGGATGAAGAGATAAACACCCATATTACAAATTATTTTCTAAGGTTGTTTTGTACTACAGGCCAAAGAGACTTGGACGGAGTTTTGGAAGGAGTAGAATNATAAACACCCATATTACAAATTATTTTCTAAGGTTGTTTTGTACTACAGGCCAAAGAGACTTGGACGGAGATTTGGAAGGAGTAGACTGTAAAGTTACTGATCATATGAATCAACAACTTTTGGTGGAGATTAAGGATGAGGAGGTCTTCTCGGCAGCTCAGCAATTGGGGGCCCACAAGGCATCGGGCCCTGATGGCTTTCCGAGGATCTTTTTTTTGTCCTATTGGCATATTGTTGGTCCCGATGTTTGTTCTGCTGTGAGAAATTTTTTTGAGAGGGGATTCATGTCGAAGGAGTTGAATACAACTAATCTTGTTTTGATCCCCAAGGAAGCAAACCCATAATACATATCACAATTCCGCCCTGTAGCGTTATGCAATTTTTTGTATAAGATCATCTCCAAAGTCATGGCAAATAGATTGAAAGGTTTGCCGCACTGCATCATTTCTCCTCAACAAGCAACCTTTGTCCCCAAAAGGTAGATTCAAGATAGTATCGTTGTTGCAAACGAAGTCCTTCACTGCCTAAAATTGAAGAGGAAATGCAACATCCCAGATCTTGCTATCAAAATGGATATCAGCAAAGCATATGATAGGTTTGAGTGGGATTTCCTCGAAGCGACGATACTCAAACTTGGTTTTTGTCAAAGATGGGTGCATTTAATTTGTCAATGTGTTTGCACTGTGAGTTTCCATTTTGTGGTGAATGGTGACACAAGGGGAACGGTTCATCCCCAAAGGGGAATTCGACAGGGAGATCCACTCTCTCCATACCTATTCATCTTGGTCGCTAATGTGCTTTCCTTTTTGCTCCAAAAAGGTGTGGATGATGGTAGGTTCCAGGGTTTCAAAGTCCGCAGGAGGAGCCCTATAGTGTCTCATCTCCTGTTTGCTGATGATTCCTTGTTTTTTTGTTAAGGTTAAGGAACAGGGGCTTAGGAACTTTCTCAAACACCTTGGTGATTATTGTGTGGCTTCGGGGCAATGTATGAATTATGAAAAATCTGGCATTCTTTTCTCATCTAACACAACAGCTGAACAGAAAGTGCACCTCAGCAGCCTTTTGGGTATGCGACCATTGGCTCCTGATGCTAAATATCTGGGACTTCCTGCATTTTGGGGAAGATCAAAGTCTATGATATTTGGTTTTTTGATAGAGCGGGTCTTAAAAAAGATGCAATGTTGGAAAGGGCTCTTACTCACTTAAGGGGGCAAGGAAATTTTGATTAAAGCAGTGATTCAAGCTATTCCCTCCTATGCTATGTCCGTTCTTTATTTCCCAAAGTGTTTTTGTGATAAATTAGATAGGTATGTACGTAATTTTTGGTGGGGTAAAGGAGGGGAGAAGAGAGGTATATACTGGAAGAAATGGGCGAAAATGGTCGAACCGAAGATGAAAGCGGGTATGGGTTTTAGGGACTTCTTCTCATTCAACCAAGCTCTTCTTGCCAAACAGGGGTGGAGAATCCTTTCTTATCCAAATTCTTTCTGGGCCAGATTCCTTAAGTCTATTTATTTCCCGGAGTGTGATTTCATGGAGGCTAAGATGGGATCTAGGCCTTCTTGGGTCTGGTGAAGTCTTCTAAAGGGAAGAGAGTTGCTCAAACAAGGCCTGGTGTGGCAAGTTATGGAGGGTAACGGTACCAAAATTTGGGGTGATAAGTAGATTCCACTGCTTCCTAATGCTGTCATTTCCTCCCCGAAACCCCTTTCATGCAATCTCCACCATGTCAACGATCTTATTATCAGGCCATTCAAGGTGTGGGATTTTGACCTTCTCAAGGATCTTTTTAATGAAGAGGAACGTTCTGTTATCATGTCCATCCTCCTCTCAGAAACATCTGGGGTTGATCGAAGGATATGGCGACCTAGTTCCAAAGATGCCTACACTGTTAAATCTGGGTACTCTTTGGCAATCAGTCTCAAATTTCCTAGTTTTACAGATGCCGAGCCCTCATTCTCGCCTCATCCGATGATATGGCATGTCAATTGACATATGAAAACCTTCCCCAAAATAAGGCATTTCTGGTGGAAGGTTTGCAATAATGTTTTGGCCTCCAATGAAAATCTGTTCGGACAAAATTGCGGCAAATCTCCTTGGTGTCCGTTCTGTAAGGTAAATGCTGAAACTATTGAACATGCTTTGTTTGGGTGTGAATGGACAAGGACAGTTTGGTTTGGCTCTGATTATGGTTTTCGGTTTGATGTGCTTTCTTTTTCTTCTACCATGCATTGGGTTTCCCATGCCTTGGATGTTATGAATGATTCTTCTCGTTCCTTGGAGGTGATGGGGTACATCGCAACTTTTGCTTGCGTAATCTGGAAGGGGAGGAATTAGGCGTCTTTTAATCAGGAGGTGTCCAATGCNTCCCATGCCTTGGATGTTATGAATGATTCTTCTCGTTCCTTGGAGGTGATGGGGTATATCGCAACTTTTGCTTGCGTAATCTGGAAGGGGAGGAATTAGGCGTCTTTTAATCAGGAGGTGTCCAATGCTTTCGCTACACTGCTCACTGTAAGGAACTTATGGAGTGATATTATTGCCGTTGGAAAAAAAAGGAGTGATAATCTCGTCTGCCCCAGCTGTGCCAGTGGATCCCCCGCTCAACAGCAGCCAAGCTTTTCATATTAGCTGTGATGGGGCTTTTAAAAAGATCAAGGCATCCATTGGTGTTGTTGTAAGGGACTCGTCTGCTTGTCTTGTGGATGGTATTGGTCAAAAGTTGATGGCATCTTCTAGTCTCCAAGCAGAAGTTATAGCTGTGAGGGATGCCTGCCTTCTTGCAAGTGCAGCCCAGTTACAGCATTCCAACGTTGAAAGTGATTGCCTTGAGGTTATCAAACTTTCCTCAAATGAAGATGACCCTCCATGGGAACTCAGTGCTCTT